TAGGGGAGTTGCCCACTGCCGCTAACCATTAAGAGGGGTTGCGAGTGTGGGTACCTTTAAGCGGAGTGAAAATGGAACATTATAGTTGAGCGGGGTTTTGCATGCCGTACATGCGACCGCCGGTGCGTCCGTACTGTCCTTTCCCTCTTTCTTATTCGTACTCCCTTGCGCCCATAAATATATATCCCTGTCCAATCACCCGAAAACCTTGGAGAGATGCTAACCGCTCCAGGAAAACAAAACCTTTCCAAAACCGCTAAAACCGCTAAAACGCTCTCAGGTCTGGGACTCGGCTCGCGCCTCCGTCGCTTACACCCTCCCCTCCCTGGAGGGTTGTGGCCGGGGACCTGTCGTAGCTCTGACGGCGGACGAGGGGCTACTGGCGGTGGCGTATCGGAGGGAGGTGCTCGTCTGGGATCTGCCGCCGCCGCAGCCGCAGCCGCAGCCGCAGCCGCCGCCGCAGCCGCCGCAGCCGCCGCAGCAGCAGCAGCAGCAGCCGTCAGCGGAGGAAACGCCGCCTAAGAAAGGCTGTGATGGTGGCGGAGGTGACGGAAGCGGAGACAGCGGCAGAGCAGGAGCGCTTGGCGGTCATTGCGACTCGGTGTACGACTGTACGACAAAACCGGCAGTACCTCAAGCAGCCCTGGCGGCGTTGATTAAGCCGACCCTGGGAACAGGTGAGGGGCGATGGAGGCTGTAGGAGGGAAAGCGAGGGGGGGGGGGTGAGTCATAGATTCCAGAGGGCATTTGGGGCATAATGTTTTGGTGGGGGCAATGTGTGTGTATATATGTGCATATTATAATATATAAGGGGCTCCAAAAAATTCTGGCCAATTACACGTTCATATGCAAACGAAAAAAAACGAAATAATCGACTGCCGACCGTGGCGGGGGGCGTGAGCAGGTGCGGTACGGACAACCCCTCGTCACGGCATCGACGGGGCCCGCCACACGGCATCTCGCTCGCCACAGCTCAAGTCTGAAAACGTTTTGGGGAAAAAATATTTACCCACGTCCCTGAGAAATGAGACCCGCTCCCCCCTGGAGGGCGCACCCCACCCCAATCCCCTCCCCAAACACCTGTTCCCTCCCTCTC